TATATATATATCTATATATCTATATATCTATATATATATATATATATATATATATATATATATATATATATATATATATATATATATATATATATATATATATATATATATACATACATATACAGGGTTCAATTTAATTTTTTTTAAAGTACTGGACAAAATGTTCGATCAAAACTTGTTTAAGTTGGACAGTGTTTGATCAAAGTTTGAACAAAGTGTTTGAGGTTGAGGCAGTTTTTCGCCAACCTCAAACACTTTCAGGTCGGCAGTAAGGTTGGCATTACCGAATGCCAACCCTAATTCCAAGGGTTGTATATATATCAGTGCATGTGATCAATAAAATTGCCCAGCGCGATATTTCAGGCTCGTAATACTGACATATGTTATTAACGAGCGTGATTATGCGCCCTCAGCATCAAGTCTTCAAGAGCGATATTTAGAGTTGAAAATTGGTTGCCATGTGGCCATCTGCAAATTACATACGCAAATTACTAGTATTGAGAGGGGTTTCGTCACTCGAAAATTTTCCTTTTTGTAGTTGAATTAACATGCTTGATTGCAGACATTCTAAACAACAGAAAGGTTTTTAATTTAATTTAAAGATAAATATTAGTTTAAAAAAAGATTAAAAATAATTTTTTTTTACAAAAGATATGTAATAAACTAAAAATAATAAAGCAAAAGAACCTTAAGTTTTTAGAAAATCTTATTGATTAAAACTTTTGATTTTCCGAAATTCAATCAAGTTTTAATTTTTTAGTATAAATTTTCTATTCTAATTGAGACGAGACAGTTTGAAAATAGTAAACATTCCGTTCTATCTGTTAGCAGTAATGACTTAATAACTTTTTGTTAATTGTTTGTACAAAAAAGAAAACTGCTTTCTAATTTAAACTGAGTAAAGTGAATGCTTTTTTTTTTAATTTTAATTTGTGCTTATCTTTAATTTTTTAATAAATAGACTTTTATATAAACTTAATTGATTTGAAGTTACCAGTGAAAATATTTAATTTATTAACTTATATTTGACAAAAATATTTGATATTCCAACGTTTTGATGTTTTTGAATTTTAAATATAATAGTCATTAACTAATAAAATGTGATTGAACCTGTATGAAATCGAAGTTTTAAGTTAAGTTTTAGTTTGATAAACTTTTATGGTAGATATTTATTTATAAGATATTTATAAATATTACTCTAGATATTTATAAATATTAAGCAAGATATATAATTTTTTAACATTTTAGTTTGAAATTTTCAATTAAGTGTTAAAAGTTTTGATATTTTATTGCATGAACTTTTATGCAATTCAAAGTAAAAGCTCTAGTTAAGCGAAGTTTTTTGTCAAATGGACCCTAAAAAACTGTACGAGTTGGCGAATGGTTCGACTTAACCAGGGTATGATTAAGTGGATAATATGATAAAGTTCAACTGGAATAAAATGAAAAAACATGCTTAATTTAGATTTCAAATAGAGGAAATATATCATTTTTAATTTGAACTTATTGCACATAAATTAAAATTAAAGTACATCATGCATAAATTATGCGTGACTTACTTTGTTTCATAATAATAATAATAATAATAATAATAATAATAATAATAATAATAATAATAATAATAATAATAATAATAATAATAATAATAATAATAGTAGTTATATTCATATATAACTTCTTTATTTAAAATATGCAAACTCTACCGTTTAAATATATTATGATTCCAGCAAAAAAATTTTACTAAAATTATTTTCTTTAAATCAACTTATAATTTTCTCCAATGCAAGTTCTTCAGACGAGCGCGATTTTTTACTCTCGTAAGAAAACTAGCAAGCACTATTTGTTACTAGAAGGCCATTTACAGGCAAGTTTCACGTGTGTGGAGCGATTGCTCCCGCTTCATCACAAGGCCTGATATATATATATCAGGGGGCGTTTTTGATAACGTTGATTGCTGCCCAAATTAAAAATTGAGAACCTTTTTTTTGTTTTTATGGCAAATAGTTTTTTTTGCAAAAAATGCCTAAATTCGGCAATATTTTTACTATACTTCATCAGGATGTGTGTTGCTGCCCAAATTTTTTTCATAGAATAACCCCTGTATGTATGTATATATATATATATATATATATATATATATATATATATATATATATATATATATATATATATATATATATATATATATATATATATATATATATATATATGTATATATATATATATATATATATATATATATATATATATATATATATATATATATATATATATATATATATATATATGTATATATATATATATATATATATATATATATATATATATATATATATATATATATATATATATACATATATATATATTGTGGGTGGGTCAAAAAATTTTTTTTTCTTGTTACAGGCTCTAAACATTGCTAATAGTTATTAATATTGATACTATCAAATATGAGAATGATTGTGATAGATTTAAAGGGCGCAACTTTATTGGGAAAATTACCGGTACCCTAATATTTTGGAGAAAAAAAGTTTTTCAAAAGTAGGTCAACCTGGTACTCAAAAAAAGCGAAATTTTATAAAAAATTCGAATATAATAATCGTTTTATAAAAATCATATTGCTGAAAAAAATTGTTATTAAAAAACATGTAAAAATGCACCTTTTTCACTTTTAGTTAAAAACTATAGTTATTATGCAATAAAATCTAAAATAATAATTTTTATATGAAAAAATTATTATTTTTGAAATTTTTATAATATATCGCTTTATTTGAGTGTACCTACATCACATAATTTTAAAAAACTTTTTTTTTGAATCATAATAGGGCCTGCTAATTTTTGTAATTATAGTTGCGGGTGGAAGACATTGTTCAATCAACATAAAAAAATAACTTTCTAGCAATGTTTAGAGCCTGTAACAAGAAAAAAAAATTTGATGACCCACCCTAATAAATATATATACATATAATTTATTTTAAATTACTTCTTACAATTATATTATTTAATTATTAGTAATATATTGAAATACCATTCGTAGAATAGGGATGTTGTTTAGTACATACATTGAAATTTAGAGTTCATTACATTCAATCATGCATCATACATTGAAGGTTTTGGCAGGCAGTAATTAAGTATAAAGGAAGTTTATTACTTGAAAAATATATTTTTATTTTTCCTATATATACTCATGTTTGAAAAAATAAACTAAAGTCAGTATAAGGGTTGCAAAAAAACCGGTTGTTTTGAAAAAAAACCAAAAACCATAGGTTTTTTTAAAAAAACAAAAAAATCCATGGTTTTTTTGGTTTAAATTAGGTTTTTACTAAAAAATGTGGTATTTAGTTATCTTTTTAAATTAAAAAAAGCATAACATATTTTATTTGAGTAAACTATATTCTTTATCAATATTATTGTTATATTTCATCAAAATTATTCAATATATCATTGTTTAATGTTCTATATATAAATACAAGCTTTGCTGCTACCCCCAATTGGTTTCTTAACTTAGAATGAACAAAACCAAAAGTTGAAAAAACTCTTTCGATTCCAGCACTAGAAGCTGGTGCATTTAATAAACCTTCAATATCCATTATGTTATAGTAGATTTGGCTTTTAATTTGAATAATATTGGTTAGAAATTCTTGAGCTCTTTATCTGCGAAATTCATGGCAGCTTCATTTTCAGAAAGATTAGATCCAAAATATCTAGGATCTAGTGTGTTTGCCAGGAAATGAGCATCACTAACAGTCTGAAGGTATATAGATTTATTTTATTATTATTTTTTTTTCGTTTGATAAAAATGATAAACTGTTCATCAAATCTTTAAAAATTTCAAGTGTCACTTATTTTTGTTTGATCTCTTTGCAACTTATCTAGAGCTATTGCAATTGGTTTCAATATTTTCAATAAACCTTCTGTGTTCGCTTTATTTGTATATCACTTTCTTTTTTACCAATCATGGAATCTAAGTCATTATTTTTTTCAAACATTGTGAAAATAATGCTCCAGTTTTTGACATATTTTTCAAGTGAATCACATACAGAATTCCAGCAAGTTTCAGTAGGAAGTGGCAATTTTGTTCCTCTGCCTAATTTATAAATTGCTCCAACTTGATGATTATTTCTTATATATTTTATCATTTGTGTAACATGCTTGCTCACATTTTCAATGTTAAGATCATTTGCTAAAAGATTCAGCATATGAGCAGCACACCCATAAGTTATGATAATATCTCTTTCAGATAATAATACTTGTCTCATTAATTTCATATTAGCTGCATTGTCAGTCACAAAGCTCTTTACTGTGCATCCAAATTTACGTCTTACAAAATCTATTGCTCCTCTTGCTAATTGTGTAAGATATTCACCAGTATGTGAATGACCAGAAGTGTTGTTTCTACTAAAATGTCAATTTTATCTGTAATTACAGAGATACAAACTATAGGTTCATTATGTACATTACTCCAGCCATCTAAAGACATGGCTACAATTTTCCCATTCAATACATTACATTTTTCAATTTCTTCTGTGTAAACCCTATCTAATATTTCTCCTCCAATTTGAGTTCTATTAGGTATAGTGTATCCTGGATGAAGCATATTGATAAATTAAAAAAAAAAAATTAAAAAAAAAAAAAAATCTATATTGAAGATTAGTTATATTTGTGAACATAACCCTATCTTAGCTTCATGTTGTAAGTTCAAATCTTTTTAAAAAAACATTAGTTTGGTTTAAACCAACATTTTTTAAATTGGTTTTAACCAAATGTTTTAAACCATGGTTTTAACCAATGGTTTAAACCATTTGGTTAAAACCATGCAACACTGTCAGTAAACTAAATATTAACTTGTGCAAAATAAATTAGTTCAGTACTAATCTTATTTAAATTTTTTAAACTTAAATTATTTAGATATGTGATTAGATTTAGATTTAACACATTTAGATGTAAAATATAATATAAAAGACGTTTGTGTCATATTATTTTTATTATTAAAAAAATTTAAGGCTTGTTTGAAGAAGATGTAATTCAGAATAAAGAAAAGAAGTTAGGAGTTGTTTTAAAAACCGTAAAAAATGATGAAGATAGTGATGACAGTGAAAATTCTTCTGATGATGAGCATGAAAAAGTAAAAGAAGGAAAAGTAATGGTTGCTTGGTATAACCCTCATTCAAAATGGAGTGATGATGAAATTAAAGTTGTGGATGAGAACTCGGTATATGTTTAATATATTTCTTTCTTCATTTATTTATACTAGCTGATCTGACCCGTAAAAATACCGGTCTTTGTAAGTCTATTCCGCACTGACTTTTTCTATACTTTTTCTTTATATATACCCATATGTTAAAATACGGGTCTTTACCAAATTTACCCTTTCTATACTTATTTATTTCACACCGATCATTTCTATGCCTATTATTTGTTTACTATAATAATTTTATGTAAAATAATTCATTTAAAAAAATGCCTTTATAAGCAAAAAATTTAACATGCCAACCCTTTCAGCATATCTAGAGCTTATAAGAGATTTTTAATTAGATTTGTTTTTCTCTCAACCGCATATCACTAATAGCTCAGTGGTTTAGTGCACTGTCATCAGTGTCGTTTTGGGGGATTAAAGACAAAATAGCAAGATTGAAATTTTTAAATCTTGCTGTATTTATAGCAATATTTCTAGCAAAAATTTTATAATAGTATATATCTATAATAACTAAACTAAAATAAAAAACTAAAACAAAAAAATATTAATATAGCAAAAATGATTTCTAATTGTTAAAATAAAAATCAAAAGTTTTCTCATTTTTATAAATTTATTATACCCGATTGTTCTATATACTGCCTGCAAACTCAACATATGCTAAAGACGTTTACACTTTCAGACGTTTGTATGCAATGCTATACAAATAGCAGAACTAAGAAGATCTTAGACCATTAAAAAATATAGAATGTTATATATATATAAAATGTTAAGGGATTGTCCATAAATTATGCAACGCTAAATTTATTTTAAAAAAAGTCTAAAAAGATCTTCAGTTCATTTAGTTATCGATTTTCACTAAACTTAATGAGCTATTTTGATTTTTTATTTAACATACAACTCTGCGAGGGAAATTTTTGATCTTTTTTGTTTTGTTCATTAGTGAAATTTAGCGTTGCATAATTTATGGACGATCCATTATTTAAAAGTTAAGATTAGGGATCAGCCAAAAAGTATATAAAGCCAAATAAAAATGGAGTATAATACTACTTTAATGATCATCTAAATTCTGTCATTGCTGCGCACTGAGTTTAGAATGTTTAACAGGGGGCATGGTAAAATAGCTGTAAAACTCTAAATTTCTTTATTGTATTAATATTAAATAACTGTAACTTTTAATTATTTTTAAAAGTAATTAACTCAGTAAAATGGTTTAAGTATAAAATTATAATTTGTAATTATGTTCTTATATAAAACATACTTTTTAAATCCCCGTTTTAAAAAGTTAAGATCGCTGCATGGTAAATTCAAATCATCAGCTTGCTTTTATTTTTTAATATTTTGAGCAATAATATATAGATTAAGGTTTAGGATATTTTTATGCTGTTTTCTAAAAATGAAAAGGTATTTTTTAAAAATGAAAAGGTTTTTTAAAAATTTTTTCTAAAAATCAAAAGGTTTTTTTAAGTGGTTACCCTAATGCTACTTGGTTTTATACTACCACCATTACAAATGTTGTTTGTATAAAAAAGATTTTGCTTAAATTTTTTTCATAGTGCTCACACTTTTTTAACAACAACTTGTTGATTGATTTCACTCTGTTTTTATTTTTGTGACTGTTTTTTAAGTGTCATAGATTACAAGAATTATGTAAATACTTGTGTTTTCATAATGCTATTATTTTGTTTTTTAAGTGTCATAGATTACAAGAAATAATTATTTAATTTAATTTTTACAAGATTTTTTTAAACTTGATTTCTTGTGAGTTTGTCCGTCCAGTTAGTTTGTCCGTCCAATCTTTGAAGATATATTTAACCCACTTCCCAACTAGCTAGAGCTCTGAAACTTTCAGGATAGCTCAGAACCCGATGACAATGCAATTTAAAACCATTTTTAAGTTTTGGCATTCAATATTTCTCTCAATTTCAACAAAATAAAATTTTATATGCAGAAAAAATAAATAGCAACTTTAGTGAGCACTTAAAAAAGAAATTTGTAATGGACAAAAAAATATTTTAAATAATTCAGCATACGTATTGAACAAAAATTTAGTAAACAAATAAATAATAAATAGTGTAAGTGTTAAAAATAGTTATTGTGATAACCAAACTAATCTAAAAAGTAAAAAATAATCTACAATAAATTTTTTTTTTTTCCTAAAAACAATGTTCTTCAAGCGAACTAAAAAGTAGAAAATAATTTTTCTTTGAGCTTGTCAGAATGTCTGATTATATTCCTCTTATAATGATGATAGATTTTATAACAAATTTGATACACGTAAAACAAAAAACGTTGGGCGCATGTTATAAGATATGTGGTGATTGACCAATACTTAATGGTTTCGTTAATCATATATCTGTGCAATATATATACATTGATCCATAAAATGGCCAGCTATATTTAAATTATAACAGATGCACTTAAATACATTCACACAAACAAAGCATTAAATCAATTGTTATACTGCATAATGTCATAATATTATCAAATCACCACTTGCGCCCAAAGGTTTTTTATGTATCAATTTTTTTATAAAATCTGTCATCGTTATAAGAGGAATATAATCAGACATTCTGCCAAGCTCAAAGAAAAATTATTTTCTACTGTTAAGTTCGCTTGAAAAACGCTGTTTTTAGAAAAATTCATTTTTTATTGTAGATTTTTATTTGTTAAAATGCTTGAAATCTCCCAATGTCGTTTAGCAAACCTGTGGAAACATTGTACATGTTATTATATGCTGGTCAACTTTAAAAAGTGCATAGTTACAAATGTTGTTTTTTTGATTTGGAAATATAAGTAAAAAATGAGTTGCTTTTTCCAAATTCAGAAGTTTTGATCAATATTTTATTTCTAAATTTTTAAAATTAAAGTTTATAAAATGATTATTGTTACATTAGTTTTAAAAGTATTCATTAGGAGAATATTTGTATGATAAAAAAAGTTCATACAGCCCAAATAGTAAATAATAAAAATTTTAAATTTTAATTGTGTATTTAATTTTAATAGTGTTTTTAGTAAAATTAAAAAAAGTAATTTTATGTTGCCCCTCGGCCTTGGGGAGGTAAATAACATAAAAAAACAATTTATTTTGAGTATAAAAGTGTTGAATAATTTCGCCAAAATGTTTGTACACTTAATTAATTTAAACAGATTTTATAGGAATGTAAAACATACTTTAAGGCGGTGGCAATTTATGTGGGAATGCAGTCTCCGTTTAGCCAGCGCTTTTGCACTGAAGTCTTTTTGCACTTGCCTGGAAAAATTTTAGTGAGCGCATAAAAAAGTGCTTGCCAAAATGAAAGTGTTTTGTTTTAAATTGCAAAAAAAAAAATCATTTTAATTTAAACAACAGAAAAAATGAATATTTTTTAAAATCGCGTAGGCTAACTTAAAAAATACCATCCTGCCAGCGCTTTTTTGCGCGCTGGCATTAAATTTCGAATGGAAAAGACTGAGAACGTAAAAATACTGTAAGGTGGTGGTAATTTTTTTCTTGTTGGCTTAACACAGTTTTACAAGCTGCTATTAATTAAAGAATTTGTTGGTTTACTTAACTTCCAAGGTAGAGAGATTAAAAATAACTCCTATTTTCACATGGAGCCATGTAGCCATATTCATGGAGTCCAAAGCCAAAGCACATATACCTGAAGCCGGGGGCCATGTTCATGGAGCCTGAAAATTGTTTGGGGACTTCTAAAGCTTATGATGAAAAACTTATTAAAAAAAAATATTGGGAATCCTATTAAATTTGGTCTCCAACCTTTATATTTAGATTAATGCTGTGAAACCTAATGTAAAAAACATTCTGAGTTCCTGAGTTCCTATTTTATCTAAAAACTAGATAAAATAGTAATTAGATTCAAAAATGATAAGTTTTAGAACTAATAAGCTTTTTCCCTGTGTTTTAAAGTTTTTTCCCTGTGTTTTAAAGTTTGTAAACATTTAGGAGTTTCAAGACTCCAAAGTCCAAGTAAAAATAATGAGTTCTATTTTTGTTTTTTATTATTTTGTTTATAAAGAGTCTCTAGAGAACTTCAATTTTTTTCAGCAAACATGTTAATTGTAGATACAAGTAGTAACAGTTTTAACAAATATATTTTGACACTGAAGACTCTGAAATTAATTTAATGCTAATCAGCTTGATTATCTAGATTGACCATTTTAAACTTATTTATTTTTATCATTTATTATATTGTATGTTTTATGTTATCTAGTATAAGATATATTTTTTAACAAATATTTAATTCAAATTATTCTGATGGTGTGTGAAAAGACTTGCAAACTTTGAAACAAAATTTGAAAATTTGGTAAAAGATTACTACATCTGTCCAACAACATCTGTAGAGTAGTTTAAGATCATCTGCACACTTTTGTCCAAGATCAACTGTATCTTTTTTTATTCCAACAACATCTGTTGAATATTATCTGGAAATTCAATGATCCCTAACTACATCTTTAGGAAGATGTAACTGCATCTGGGAATTTTATTCCAAGTCCAATTATATCTAGAAAAATTTTCTCCAGATGTAATTACATCTAAAAAAAATCTTTTATGTAACTAAATCCAATAAAAATAATGAGTTTATATTTAATATTTTATTGCAGTTGTAACTACATCTGAAAAAAATCATCTATTTACTACATCTGGTTAAAATAATGCATTTTATTTTTCTGTAATTATATTTAATATAATTAACTACAACTGTGGAATTCATAGATTTAGTTGAACAGATGTAGTTATTCTTAACATAATTGAAAGATGTAAATACATCTTTAAAATCTCAAGGTTGCACAGATATTGTTATAGTTGGATAATTGAAAAGATGTAACTGCATCTGTAGTAGTCATATACTTTTTACACAGATGTTATTAGACATCAATGAAGATTGAAATGTTGGTGAATATATGTTATTATACATCAGTATATTTGCAGATGTTGTTCAACAGATGTTATTAGAAATAGCAAAAACTGTTGTTGTTACCCGGCCCTGAAAATTTGTGTTAAATATTTTGTATATTTTAGTTATGTAAACTTGTATATTTTTTAGACTTTTATATTTGAGTTTTTTAGATTGAACTAGTGGATCGTTCTTTATTACCTGGAGATGCTGTGAGATGGGTTTTAAAAGCAAGAGGAAGTCAAAAGGGGTTAGTAAAGAGCGTTGATGTCAAAGTTGATGTTGTTATTGTTGGAACAAACTATATATTAAAAGATATTCCTGTTGCACTTTTACCGCCATTAGACGTATGTTTCTATTTATGTTTTGCTTAAAATTGTTTTATGAATTTTTTTTAAGATAAATTTATCTTGCAGCCAGAACCAAACTTTTTTTGAAGAACAAAAATTTTTTTAAAGAAAACTGACAAAGAAAAGCATAGTTTTTAAGTTAGACACAAACCCATGTGTTTTTGTATAAAGAAAGGCATGTATTTGTTTAGTTTAAATTAAAATAAATAAGAAAGGCAATAATCACTTAATAAATTTTTTTATTTATTTTTCACTTAATAAATTTTTTCATTTATTTTTTTCTTCTTTCTTTTGTAAAATCTTTTTGATTTTTTTATCTTTAATTTTTTCTATTGAACTCTTAATTTTTTTTTTAACTAAAAAAAAAAAGAAAAACAGAATAATGATTTAATTACAATAATTATACGAGTTAAAACTTAAAAAAAATAAAGAAAATATAAATTTTTTTTAATAATTATACAAGTAATAATTAAAATAAATAATGGAATTTGTAGAGTAAACAGTAAATAAAAAACAAAATCAGCATGCCAATTTTAGTTAAAATCAACATAAAAAAGTCAATAGAAAAAAAGTTCCCTAGTCTAATACTACAAACATTTTGTGATTTTTTCTCATCTTCTGCCAGAACCAAAACTTGCATCTTTAAATTCTGTAAATAATTTTCATAAATTTTTTTTTTTTTTTTAATTTTTTTATTTGCATTCACTCCCAACAAGGCTGCAAGCAACCACTATCAAGTTGGGAGTTACTAGGAAAAAAAAGAACAGAGTTATAGAGCAAGGAAACGGTTGACAGAAGACTTGAAAAGTTGAAGGTTGTATGAGTCAGGAAAACATGAAGATGGGAGAGAGTTCCAAAGGATTGAAGTGCGGGGAAAAAAACTAGATGAATAAAAGTTTTTAGAGCATGCAGGGACAGATACAGTAAACGAATGAGACTTAGCTGAATGACGAGTAAAACGAGAATGAATTTTAGTTGATGGAACTAGAGATGATAACTCCTTTGAGCAGTGACCATGATAGTATTTGTAGAAAAGAGAAAGAGATGCAACTTTACGACGATGGGAAAGAGGTTCAAGCTTAGCAGATAGTCCAGGTCCAACAACATTTACAATGCGTTTTTGGACCTTGTCAAGAAGAGAAAGTGAATCGTTAAAAGAACCAGCCCAAATATGACAACAGTATTCCATACAGGGATGAATAAGAGATTTGTAGAGGTAGAGAATGGAATCAGAAGTAAGAAAATGGAGAGCACGATAAAGAGAAGCAACCTTAGCAGAAGCTAATTTAGCAATCGATTGTATATATGGTTTCCATGAAAGGTCAGTAGTAAGCGATAATCCAAGAAGACGTAAAGAGGACGACTCATTAAGAGGATTGCCATTCATTAATATAGGAATGTTGACCATATTACGGTAGTTGTTTGCAGTAAGCAACTGGGTTTTTTTAGAGTTGAAATTCACAAGCCACTGTGAACCCCAATCTATTACTGAAGTGAGATCGGGTTCAAGATCAGCTGCTTGTTCTAGGCGATCGAAAAGAGAAGACTTTTTGTCAAGACAGGAGTATAAAGTTGAGTCATCAGCAAAAAGAGCTACTTTAGATGAAAGGTTGTCAGGAAGATCGTTTATGTAGATAAGAAACAAAACAGGGCCCAGGATGGAATCTTGGGGAACCCCAGAAGTTACTGGAAATAAAGAAGAGTGTTGGCCTTCAAGGATGATTTTAATAAACCGGTTAGAAAGAAATGATTTGATAATCTCAAATACTTTCCCAGAAACACCATATGAAGCAAGCTTATGGAGAAGACCAGCATGCCAAACTTTGTCGAAAGCTTTAGATATGTCGAGAGCAATAGCCCTAGCCTCACCGCCTCCATCTAATGCACAATAAAATCTTTCAGTTACAGCAGTTAGCAAGTCGGCCGTAGAGTGAGAGGATCGAAAACCGTATTGATTGTCTGACAGTAGTTTATTTGACTCAAGATGAGATGTGAGGAATTTGTTGATCAAAGACTCAAAGACCTTGCTAATAACAGAAAGAAGACTGATCGGACGATAATTGGAGGGGTCAGAATTTTCTCCAGAGTTTTTGAATATTGGAACCACAGATGCCATTTTCCAACAAGCAGGAAAACAAGACTCAGTCAAACACTTGTTAAATAGTTTAGAGAGAATTGAAGAAAGTTCTGGAGAACAATTCTGCAAGACTGTGACAGGAATGTTGTCTGGACCACAAGCTGTAGACGAGTTTAATTGAGATATGACTTTAGCAACAGAAGCCGGAGTGATTTGAATGTCTAACAATGGGTCAACCTGTTTGACTGGAATGGAAGGAAGAGAATGTCCATAAGATTCAAGAGTGGAATTAGAAGAAAAGTTCTTTGCAAATAGTTCTGCCTTATCCTTGGGAGAGGTAATAAGATCAGTCCCATGAATGAGAGATGGAATGTTAGATCTACCCTTGTTAATAATGCTGTTGAAGATTTTCCAAAAGTCTTTAGAGCCTAACTTCTGTGATAAGATGCGAGATTTAGTGAACTGAGAATAATGAAGTTTAGCATCAGAAAGCACCTTTTTACATCGATTTCTTGCAATAATAAATAGCCGTTTGTTCTCAAGAGAGTTGTTCTTTTGAAAAAGATGAAAAAAATGATTACGATTGAATATAGCAGCCGCACAAGAAGGAGAAAACCATGGAGTAGAATGAGGCTTGACTTGAAACCGACGCAAAGGAATAAAAGCTTCCATTCCAGCCTGAATCCAGGAGGTTATGTAGGAGGCGCATTTGTCAGCTAAGAGAGAAAAAACATCAGCCCAAGGACCATCACAAAGAAAATCACGAAAGGAATCCCAGTCAGCTTTAGGGTAGTAGTAGGTGGTGCGATGATAAGGTGAGCCCAAAAAAGAAGTACGAGAAAAAAGATTTATAGAGATCATTGTATGGTCAGAACCACCTAAGGGAGAAAAGGGAGAAGCTGAACATAAGCTAAGGTCAGAGACAAGACATAAGTCAAGGAGTGAAGGTAAATGATTAGGGTTGTCAGGAAAACGAATCACAAAGTTAATTATATGAGTAAGAGATTGAGAAACACAGAAGTTAAAGGCTTTAGTGCCAGCAGGATCAGTGGTGTTAGAGCCAAGCCATTCAGTGTGATGGGCATTAAAATCACCAACAACAACAATATTGGCAGAGGGGTAAAGAGAGAGGGCATGGTCAATTTGATCAGAGATAACATCTAAGAGAGTGCAATCATGGGAAGAAGGAGAACGATAAAGAACAAAGAGAAAGGTGATAGAGTGAAGAGGTGCTAGGCGAAAGCACATAAAAGAATGGTCAAAGGATTCGAACCTGATTTCACGACAAATAGGGGAATTAATGCGTATGTATACCCCTAAACCTAGCATGTGACTATTGGAGTCTTTATGAATCAAAGGATAGTACCCATCAACACTGACATCTGAAGAAGGAATTGCAAAATTTAAATTTGTTTCACTGAGTGCAAGCAAGTCTGGTGAATTTTGCAGGAGGTAAGACTCAACTGATGGAAAGTTGCTTCGTAGACCGCGAATATTTGTAAAAGATATATTAAAATATTTAGGTGGTGGGGATGGTTTTTTAGGTTTTAAATTTTTGGTTACTTTGGTCATGATTTGGATTTAATGAGAACTTGACTCATTCATAGATAGAGCACAGCCTCCTAATCAATGAGCTATGCAGTTGTCTCTGTCCTGTTAATTAACCCTAAGCCGTGACATAGGGCTCCTTATGAGGCCTTGACAATGCACACCAAAAGCATTAACAGGGACACCATCCATGCGCAACATGGCACTGTTAATACTCTGATATTTTGCAGCTGTTGATGGAATCAGCCTCTCTGAGAGCTACCACAGAGTTCGGGAAACCTTACTACCAGCCGGCCTCAGAACCATTAAACTGAGTTTTAGAGCTGTACCCACATATGGAGATAACAGGAAGAGTTGCATAGCCATTATCAAGGAGGCATAAGCAAAATTCTATGAGTAGAGTCAAGGAGATCCAGCATTCATCATCCTAGGCAGGAAACAATGTAACACAGGTTACATCTACGCCAGCCTAATAGATGAAGAAGGGGTTCGAGGCTGGTTAGCAGAATTTTTCTGCTTACCCCTAAAGTCTTTGCCTAGGAGGCCTTCTACAAGACAGTAGCTGGATGCAGTTAACATCTGCCCAAGATGAGTATTTTTATTGAGACACCATCTCTAGCCTTTACTCAACCAAGAGCCCCAAGGCAGGGGATGTTTAGCTGGATGCAGTTAACATCTGCCCAAGATGAGTGTTTTTATCGAGACACCATCTCTAGCCTTTACTCAACCAAGAGCCCCAAGGCAGGGGAATTTTTAGTCGGAGTTTATTTCTCCTAGCCTTTTTAATCAGGATCTGTACCATAGCCAAAGTTAATTCATAAATAATAGAACATCTTAAATTCATAAGCGAAGCATCTTCTTACATCTAAAATATGATTATCTTTTTACATCCAAAATATCATCTTCCTATTTTAAGTTTTATTAAATGTGACCAATAAATAATAAAAAGTCATTTGTGTTTTTACCTCTCAAGAAACTGTTCATATTGGCTTATGCATTCTGAAGGATAATTTGCAAATCGCCAAGCCAAATACATTGTAGACCTTGGCTGTAATTTGCCTATAAAATACTTTCTCAAACACATTGATGCCATTGAAAGATTCCATTCCAAAGTAACATGAAGATATATTTTTTATCTTTGTTTTTTTGATTCAGTATATAGTTTTTTATTATCAAAAAATGATCTATTTTTGTTAGATACATATTTTGAAATACATACAAAGACACACATTATCTAAACAAACAAACTAGACTGAGTACTAGGCTTTTTTTTAGTGTTTTCAATTTCTAAATGAATTAAAAAAAAAATTTATAGTAATTTATGTATTGATTATTAAAACAGATTGTTAGAGATATGTTAGAAATTAAGAGT